GCCATGGAGACCTCACATTTTTTGAGGATGCCAGTATGAGCTGGCCCCGTGACAGTCTAGCATCTGCTCTCCATGCAGAAGGAAGCCACTCTCCACAAGGGCCCCAGTGACCTGTTACCACAATGGTGGTCATCATCTACTCCTTTTTGGAACATGTCTGACAACGGAAATTCATGATGGGCCATTTATCATGATGGTTTTGCTTTGATATGGAGTGTCACTCAAGGGTCAGGAGCTGAGGTCACGATACTCACCACGGTACTTTTGGGAACTCGTAGAGCATGTGACCATTGGAGGAATCCACAGGTCACTGGGGATATCAACATTCACTGTTGCCATCACCAGTAACCAGAGTGAGACCACCCAGTGCTGGACTTAAATCTCCAAATGTGAGCTAAATACAGCTTTTTTTTCTAGTGAGGAAGCTGCAACACTAGGCTGGGTAACATAATCTGTGATATTTAATAAACGTGTCCAGGCACATCCATCTGGACACATTAAAAAGAGTCACTATGTCTCAGAAGAGACAAAGTGGCGTGCATATTCCTATGCAAACCTCTTTATTCGCCGCGTATTTGTGGATGTGTGGGTCATTCTTCCACTCATACAGCAGGATTCTACTAGTCCCCAGAAGCGTGCTAGCATCAGACTCATTTTGAGGGCTTGCCTGGCCTGACCTTAAACTAGCAATTCTCCTGCCTCAGCCTCCCAAAAAGCTGAGGTGATAGGACCACACCACCATGCACAGTCTTTGGTGGCTTAACTAGTTGGTTATCAAGTAGCTGGAACATGAGATGTTGGCTTTGCTGCTCTTCAGGCTACAGGATTCTTACGTGCTTGATGTGAATTCTCACCACCAAATTCCTGCTCCTTTGTCACACCTTTGATAATGCTCTGTCTGGTGAGGGAAAGGAGAATTCAGAATTGATACTGTCCACTTGCACTCTCTCCTTTATTATAGATGGAGAAGCTCCACAGACAGGCCCAGGAAGTCAAAGCTGCCATTAGAGCTGTTGGGATGCAGGGTCAGAGAAAAGCTGGTTGACTGGGGCCTGGGCATGTATCAAAAGGCCAGAACCAGCAGGCAGACTTGCAGTTTCTTGATGTTAGAGAAAACAACTGAAAATCCAACCTGCCCATACAGGGCATTTATTTCATTTTATTTCTAGAACTAACTTCCTTATTATACGATGAGATGGCAGTCAGCAATAAGCCTGACACTTGGGATGCTGAGGCAGTAAGGACCATGAGTTCAAGGCAAACTTACTCCACAGAATCCTTGTCTTACAAAACAAGGTAACAGATTTATTTTATTATAGCAGAGCTCAGTTAGTGAAATTGCTCACCAAGTTAGAAGAAGACAATTTTCTTATGCACAAAAGTAAATGATCTAGCATATGTCAAGTGATAGAACTTATGATAATGAGATGATCGTGAATACGTAAATTGTAACTAAAGCATGCAGAACTCTGTCCAGCCTCACTGCAAGCTGCTCAGAAGCACCGTGAATATATTTATTCCCTTACAAGGAATCATCTTCACCAGGAAAGGCGGCATCAAACCAGGTTGTAGGGCATATCAAAATTCTAATTTTTGCAGTAAACAACTTATTATTAATGTTTACTTACTACTTATTTACTGGGTATGATTTCAAGTTTAATTCGAGGATAAAAATACTTGATCTGAAGTTAAATACTTAACAGGAGGCCATGTAAAATCTCTCCGCTGTGTAACACACATGAACTGAATTATCCAGCCCACTTATCATCATTACTAAGCACTCGGGCATCCAGAGGCAAGAGGCAGGAAAGAAACCATTTACATCACATAAAATGCATAAGATAGATAGAAATCACGAGGTGTCGTTGCTCCACAAAGAATGAGAGGCTGCCTTCAGGCAAGGCCCCTCTGTCTGCTGAGCCAGCCTCTCCCCTCTGCCGATTCTGATTCCCATCGCATCCAAAGAAGCAAATGGAGAGTGGAGAGGCTGACGTTAGAGCTGCTGGCAGAGATTTGTTGGAGGTTGACCGCAAGCAGGAAGCAAAATGTAGCATATCCAGTCTTTGACCATCTCCCTGCCCTTCTTCCTTCCTTGGGTCCTGAGGCACTGTCGGGAGCCCTTGGGACAGCATAAGGGACAGACAGACCTCAGAACCAGGACCCAGGGGTCTGAGTGAACCATGGACCAGCTGGCTGCATGAGCACATCCATCTGGTTTCTGCCTCGCTTTGAGGTTGCTGAAAAATGAACTGAATTCCTACGTCCTTTTCCTTTATAATTTCTGTTTCTAAGAAACAAAATCCACTCCTGGTCAAGTTCCCTTGCTCCATTCTTAGACCTTAGTGGAATTGCCTGTACTCCTGGTCTGTACTCTGCAGCCTGATAGACTTCTGGGACTTGGATTCAGGTGTTCTGTCAGGAGAAACATCAAGGCTAGATGTGAACTAGTCGGGCCGACACAGAACGCCGTGGAACGCCGTGGAACGCCGTGGAACGCCGTGGAATGTCCTTTATGCCAGGCCCTCCCTAGGAAAGATGCCCTGTTTGGTTTGCAGTATGCTGCGGTGAAGCATTGAAATAGTCTTGGGGGGGCCTTTGTGATGAGGCAGAAGGGGTGAAACATCTGCCCTGAGCTGCACCGTAGGTCAGTGCGGAGCCCACTGCCGTACTTATCTCCCGGTGCCCCAGCACGCACTCTCTTTCTTCCCGCTACCTCCGGAAAGCAGTGCCGACTGGAGCCCAGGAGTGCAGCTCTGTCCCGCCTTCCACCCCTGCCATGGTTTCCTGGCCTGTGGCGTGCCCTGACTCACGTGATGGAACTTGTAGCACAGACAGACAAATGGGCACTTAAGCAGCTGAGCTCACTGTGTCTCAATGCAGTCATTACAGAAGTAGCCCCAAGGCATTCATCCAAAGGATGAGAGCCCAGAGTGGCCCTGTGTCCAGCATGTGGGGCACAGAGCCGGATCCAACAGGGTCCTGACTACTTGACTATCCGAGGCCACACACAGAGGTAAGAATAGGAACAAACAAGAGATGTCTGAGCTGCTAAGTTTTCCAGTGAGTTGTTTATAGCAACGCAGAAAAAAAAATAGTAAAAAGATGGCCAACATATCTTTCTAAAGTAAAGAAATACTAAAAATGCCTGGATAGTGAATTACTCAAAATGCACTCCAAATTTTGGTCTGTGGGGTAGGCTATGATAGTAAGAAAAAAATCTATTTTTTTTTCTTCTTCACCATTATCTTGTAGGAGCAACAGCATCACCGCCATCACAACTGTTACCACGACCATCACCACCAATATCATGACTGTTACCATCACCATCACCATCATGACTCTTACCACCACCATCACCATCAGCATCATCACGACTGTTATCACCACCACCATCATAACTGTTAGCACCACCATCACCACCATTGCAATCATCACCATTATTATTACCATCACCGATATAACTACCATCATCATTGTAACTGTCACCATCACTGCCACCCTCATGAACACCACCACAATCTCTATAATCTCTATAACTATTATCAATGCCAGCATGACTGCCCTCACCACCACCAAGACTACCATTACCATCATCATCATCATCCTTCTGATTTCAGCCTCTTCGTGTTTCTACTGGATTTCTGGGGTAGCTTTGTTGCCTACAATTTGGTTGTGCACTTGGCAGTTAAGATCACATTAGTCATATCTACAGCTCAGCAAGAGCTGAGATGTTTGGACCTGATAATGCAAATAGCTCAGGTGTGACATCTGTGAAAATGACGTACGAGATGCTCAGTGTGCTTCTGAAAGCCTCCAAGGAGAATGACAAGGAAGCAGGAAAGTTTTTTCAAACAGGAGGAGGGTGGTGGGGCATTCTAGGGGAGGCATCCACCTTTAAATGTAGCCATTGTGGACAGAGAGGGAAGCCAGCTGCTGGTTTCGATTTTCAGTATTAATGCTTTGCAATCAGAACCATGTGTAGCTCCTGCCTCACCCACGATCTGTCAGCCTCCCGAACATTCTGTCCTCTCGTGCCTTCTTCAGAACCTGGCCTAAGCCCTTTCTCCTCTCTGTGCCTTTCTGTTCTCCTCATTCTCTCCCCCTGTACAAATCAATGCTCAGACTGACAGCCTTTCAGAGGTCTTCTGCTCTGAGCTGGGAGGACCCAAGAGGAAGTAAAGAGGCTGAAGAGGCTGACTAGTTCAGAAGGAGCTTCGAGAGTTTGAGTGACATGTTGCAGAGCCAACCAGGATGGTGCAGAGCTCTAGAGGATGGAATGGGAGAAGGCAAATGGCACCTTCAGGGTTCTGGTTATTTGACTCATGAAACAGCACTCACTTTAATGAAACAAGGCACCTTTTTACTGCTGCTGTGCTCATCTCCAGAGTGTCTGCAATAGGAGAAGCGTGGGACAGGTGGCATTAGTCTGTTGTGGGGCTCTGCCTCACTGCGAGGGCAGAAATACTTGTAGCGTATCACATTGGGCAGACTGATGAATTCACAGCTATTAACTCCTAGGTACCACCTGCCATTGGGGAATATGCCATCACTCCTGTCCTAGAGGAGAAAACCTGAGGTTCACAAAAGTTGGGGAGTATGTCTCTAGTCACACAGACTCCACAGGTAAAATCAGACCCACACCTGTGGGGCCAGCACCCACACCTGCTGGGCCAGCACCCATACCTTTGGCTTCCACTAGAGGACACCTTTTAAAGTAAGCAATTATGAGCAGCAGGAGAGATGTCTCAGTGGTTTAAGAGTATTTTGTTGTTCTTTCAGAAGAACTAGGTTCAATTCCCAGCACTTATATGGTAGCTCACAACCATCCATAGCTACAGTTCCAGGAGATCTGATGCCCTTTTCTGACCTCTGTGGGTGCCAAGTATGTAGAAGTACACAAGACACACATTCAGGCAAAACACTCATACCCATAAAATAATCTAAAAAATATTTTTAAACCGTAAGCAATTATGAAATGCTAAAAAGAAGACAAATACAGCTTTAATAGCATATTTTAATCTAATAAAAACGATTAAATTCAGAGTTCAGAAATACAAAAGATTATCCAAAACAGTTGGGATCACACATTTTTTTTTTGTTTTTTGTTTTTTTCTTTTGTAGACAATGCTGACATGCACTTGAGCTGGTCAGTTCTTACCTCGACACGATTCAAATGAGCAAAGAAAGGCTTTCTGGAGTGTGTGAACATCCACAGACATATATCAAGAGGCTGGGGACCATGAACAGTTTTCCACATAAAACCCCATCGATTTGAGAGAACGGCCCCAACTTTCCCCCATCTGCAACTGTTCCTTGAGAACAGTGAGTACAGACTGACCTAGGGCAGAGAGTGGCAGCCAACCACACACACTGGCCAGGCCAGTCTCTCACAGCGTGGCTGTCCAGTTCTTGACCTTCTGTGCACCCCATAAAGGCCTTGGATGAATCCCCTCAAACCCTGGCGGCCTCCACAGAGCGGAAGACGTTCTTAGATGCCTCTTGTTCTGTACTGTTGGAACGATGAAGTCTAGCTGTGCCTTCCTCAGGATGTGGTCCATGATCTCTGCAGAAAACAGTCTTCCTTTCCGGTGGACCCCAGGGAGGGCCACAGCAGGATGGGACAACTGCTTAGAAGAGAGGCAGGTGGACTGGGCATCGTGCCAGCGAGATGGAGCCAGTCTGCCAGAGTTAGGTTTGCTCTCTGAAGGACTCTGGCTACCTGCCCACTCAGCTCCCTGGAGATTCAACAGCAGGATTGGCTCAAGCAGAGGCAAAACTCAAGCAGACGCTAAAACTGGAGTCTGTCAGAGTCTGACTGCACAGCCTCAACCAAGGGCTACTAGAAGTTGAGGCTGTGCTCGGACTAGTGCCTGTGTGCCCCACAGTGTGAGCGACACCTCCAGAAAGCAACACTCCATGGAACAGGCAACCACAGACCAGGTGACCATCCATGCATGTAAATTGCACGGCCTTGCAAAAGGATATGACAGGCTGTGGTTTGCATCAAGGGCGCTGGGAGCAAGCCAACAGAGACTGCAGGCAGAGGAAAGGGCAAGACCCTTTACAAAGGGACAAGGACGTGAAGTTGAAATGCATTCAAAACCCATCCCACCGGCACAGATCTTGAAGGTCCAACAAGGACACATACATTGTATGTGATTAATTTCCCGAAGCCAGCCTTCCATTTTTCACAGATCAAAACAGTCTGTTTAAATATCTCATCTCTACAAAGTGAATTTACATTTAAAGTACAAAGTGCAAATACTATATGTTTTTTGTTTTTAATTGCTCTTTGGTGAGGGAGATTCCCACATGTCTAGGAACTGCCTGGAGTAATCAGCCATTCATCCTTGTTTCCTGGGCTGGAAAAAAAAAAGAGAGAGAAGCTTATAAAGTTGTCTGTTTTCCCTCTATGCAGACAATGGTTTGCTTCCGGGAGTAAATCTACTTCTAGACAAGGGAAGAATAGGAAAGGCCCAGGGCACCTTACAGGTAAGGATGAGTGGGCACGTTGTTTAGGAATTGTTTTCTTCCCTCAAAATCATCAGGAAAATATATCTTTTGAGAAACATTGCATTAACTTCAAATATCTTAGGACGTACTGGATTATGCTCAGCTTGCAGTAGCCAGGCTTCAGCTGGGGTTACAGGCATGTACCACCAGCCTGAACAGTCATATACCATTTAAAATTTTTTCTTTTGATCTTTCTATTTTGCTATTTGCATCTAAGAAGAAATGCAGCTTGCATTTGTGTTAACAGTAGGGGCTTCTTGCTCTCCTTTACCAAATGGACTTTCAAGGGAAGTCATTTAGAAAAGAAAGAAAACAAAACAAAAAAGCAACAGCAAAAAAAAAAAAAAAAAAAAAAAGCCCAGCCATCTTTATCAAGTGCATCAATCTGTACAAACAGAAGCTGATCTTCTTATTTGATACTTGAAAAAGTAAACTTTGAATTTTAGGCTGTCTTTCTCCCTTCTGAATAACCCTCCCCCCCCCCCTTAGCCAAGCAGATGAAAGCTTTGCCTTAATTAGTTACAGATAAAGATAGTCTTCTGATATGTTTCAGCCAATCCTGAAGATGACCACAACTATTGGGGAAGAGAGCTCTGATCCTTGCTGAAGAGATACGAAACTGCCTAGAAAGACAAGTCACATTCTGATCTCTGGCCTGCTGACCCCACACCATGGCATACGGTAAGACTGCTCATGTCTGGGCACTGAGGTACTGTAAAAGATGGAGACGCTGCCCTGCTCTTTATTCCAGAAGAATGCTGAGGTGGAAGGTTTGTTTTGAGTGTGTGTTTGGGGGGAGGTGGTATTTAAGATTGCATGGCACATGTGTGCCAAGAGTTGCCATTAGCTAGAGCAAACAGCCCCTGGGAAGCCTGTGGAGGGAGCTGGGTAATTGTTCTCAGACCTGTCTCCTTTACAAGTGTAAGTGATTTGCAGTGTGGCTGGAAAAGTTAAAACCATAAACATTTACTAAACAAAGGAAAATGAATCATGTGCCCTTCCTAATGAAATGGCTTTCAGGCCCCTCCAAGGTGTATGCCGGAGGTCCCTGCTTAACTCCCACAACAAACAGGGAACCTCAGCCTGGCATCAAACAGGTGCAGCCAAAGTAAACAGCTGCCATACCGGAGTCGTAGAGAATGCAGTTTGCCTGGCTTTGGGAGAAAACCCTGGAAACTGTCCCCACTTAGGCTGTGGCTGAGATGTGGGGACCACAACTCTGCCCTTTAATTGCACATCTGAAAATGCGGCTTCAAGAAATACAAATGTCTATTAACACAGAAGGGAACTGAACCCTCTTTGGATCTTAGGGGAGTGGGCTCTTTCAGGGACAGCCATCTCCTTTAGTATATAAGAAACAAACAGCAAACATCAGCTTTTGTTCGCCAGCTAACACCTAACCATGTCTGCCACACAGACCTAGGAACCTGTCTTTAAACTAACAAATTAATTGACATTTTAAATAATTAAAAAAACAAACAAACAAACAAACAAACAGGGCAGAATCTTTAAATAAAAGATTCATCAGGTCAGTGATCATGGGTAGAATTGGGCAGACTGGTTTCCTTGCTCCAAATGCCCGCATGTGTAGCTGCCTCAGCTGAGCTGTCTGGCTTCTCTGAAGGCGCTGTTGTCCCTAAACCTACACACGGGCCCCAGATTTCTTTTGTAAAGTTCAGATGAACTGGAATATTATCAAGCCTGCAACACAGACATACTCACCTGTCGATTAGAAGTACTTTCAGCGTTAGCATTTCCTCTGGGGGCTAAAAGGGAAAAGACATCGCCGCTAGTCAAATACTTCCCGCTCAATGACAGGCTCAACATCATCAACTGGCAAACGATACTGTGCCCATAGTGACCCCGAGCCTAGCTTTGGACGAGTGGGCTTGCAAATCACCACATTGCCTAACAGCACAAATGCCCTACCACAACAGAAGAAGATTGCCTTGTTTTATCCCAAATCCTAAACATGAGTTCGCAAACCACAAAGAGTGGTCTTTCCGAACCTTCCCAGAAAATCGTGGATTCTGAGCCTGAATCCCCCACATACATTATGCTCTTTGAAATGTTTTGGTTCAGTATTAAAATTAGAAAACCTTAGCTTTAGCTCATTTCACATGTGTGGTTTATTCTTGCCCTGGAGATGGGGGTTCTCCCCTTTTTACTTTCAGTGGGACACCCGCGCCGTGCTACATGGACTCCATTTCAGGTGTCCTTTTGTCTCACTCTAGCCTCTGCTCAGAGTTTAGCCTCTCCCACATGGCCACCGTCCCCCTTTTACCAGGGTCATCCTTCCTTCCTACTCTGTAATGGCCTCCTCTCACCTCAATGGCCTCATTCCTTCCTTCCTGGCCATGGACAGTTGAACTCAGTGGACTAATCTCATCTTCCTTCTCTCTCCCTGTCCACTGTTAGTCCCATGGTAGCATAAGACACCTGTTCCCTGGTGACCCACAAGTACACATGGGTGAGAGTCCCAGATTCTCCTGGCTCCTAAGCCCAAGCTCCACCTCCAATCATAGAGACTCATGGAAATTTTAATAAATGGCTTAAAGACAGCAAGAAAAGTGAACTCTACTTCACCTTAACTGTAGTCTTGCCCACTCCTTTCCAGGACCAGGTAGCCCCATTTTAGATATGCTTTGTAGTCTCCTGATGTCCCATCAACGTTCCCTCCTTTAGGCCTCCACCAGGAAGGCCAGGAGCTCTGCCTCCAAACCCTGTTCTGCATCAATAATTCCCGGCATCCCTCTCTCCTGTGCATATGGCCACCTCATTCAAAGGAACATATTGAACCTAGAACTTCTTTTGAGGCCATCCCAACTATTATCTGTACCATATGGTTTCCTGGAAGGCAAAACATCTCTCTCTTTCTCTTTGTATCTTTGTCCCTGAAGATATACCCTAGTGCTCACTCAACACCAAATAACTAAATTGGAGTCCAGGCTAGATTTCAGTCATTGAGAAGTGATCCCTGATAATTTCTGGGAAGGTGGCTCTTGATTTTGAAGATGGCTATCTAATATCCCTTCGACCAGTTACTGTCACGCTATCCCGACCGCAACCACACAGCTCAGAGGTACAAAGGAAGAAATGCACCCATGCTCTGTCCATGCGCTCTAACGTGTTCAGGAAGCTGGTCACCAAATTACAGAACCAAATGTCAGAACCTTAGGCTCCCTCTATCCTGCAATTCCCTCTCCTCCTGTTACATCTGGTGACTAGCCAGGCCCCACAGAGAGCCACGTCTAACTGTTAAGCCAGCTACAACCACTGGGACAACTGACCTCCTAGAGGTGATGATTTCACTGTCCCTGACCTGGCTGGAAGGTTCCCATGGAGTGTACAGACTGTGCTGTCCAGTTAGCCCAAATGGTTCCGAAATCAGAAGCATGTCTGAACTGCTGTGATTAGAACAGTAACAGGTCTTGCTTTGTAGAGCTATGCTCAGCTCATGCTCCTGAGACTTGCTGTTCTACTGACCTGACCAGGTGACAGGCTTCTGACCACCTGTGGCCATTTCCACAACTACGGCAGGCATACCATGCTCTATACAGTAGACCATAGGCGACCTGTCAAATCCAGAAAGTAACCCCACGGACACGAAACCCCGACATAATTAAAGTGCACAGGACTAGAGCAAGGCTTACTATGGCGCTTCCTGGTGTTGGCTTTACCCTCCTCTCTGGTGACGCCCAAGCAGCCCATCAGCTCCTGCACCGTGATGGACTTGTCATTGTTCATGTCACAGTATTCCACAAACTTCTTCACACACTTCTTGGGCTTGGACTTCTTCCGCAGGAACCTCTTAAAGGGCTTGATCTCCTTTTTACCGATGTCCCCGCTGGCGTTCTTATCGAGCAGCTTGAAGTACCAGTGCACGACCCTCTCCTCCAGGGTGTGGCTGGGGTCTGGCTCTGACAGCCTAAGGGAAAATAAGCGTGTCAGGCAGAAGGCTGAAGCTGCTGTGTCCCACCCCCACCCCCACCCCACTTTGGCTCCCCCTCCTGCCCCTCCCCAAGGCTGTCTATCCCAGCACACTACCTGATACAAGTTAGGAAAGCCATCTGTAATGGCTCAGTCAGTGCGTTCGGAACCAGGGAACACCACAGCACGTGTGTGCACTGTGGTTGTTCACTTTGTCAAGGCCTTGAAACAAAAGGTCACTGAGACCTGGGCTCCCCTAGGCCAACAGGTGCCTCAGCTGCCCGAATCTCCCAAGAGCATTTAGAGTCCCAAGGTTTCTACCCTAATTCCATCATTTCTCTGCTGTGTGTGTAAGATACACTTCAATACGCAAACCTGGTAGAAGGTGATGCCAAAAATGTTAGCCTTGTGCCTAGACAGTTTCCTTTGGATTTTTTAAAATTCTTTATTAATTACACTTTATTCACTTTGTATCCCCCTGTGGTTCCCTGCCTCCTCCCATCCCAATCCCTCCCTTCCTCCACCCTCTGCATGCATGCCCCTCCCCAAGTCCACTGATAGGGGAGGTCTTCTTTTCCTTCCTTCTGACCCTAGTCAATTAGGTCTCATCAGGAGTGGCTGCATTGTCTTCCTCTGTGGCCTGGTAATGTTGCTTCCCCCTCAGGGGGAGGTAATCAAAGAGCAGGCCAATCAGTTCATGTCAGAGACAGTCCCTGTTCCTATTACAATGGAACCCACTTGGATATTGAACTGCCATGGGCTATATCTGTGCAGGGGTCTTAGGTTATCTCCATGCATAGTCCTTGGTTGGAGTATGAGTCTCAGGAAAGACAACTGTGCTCAGATTTTTTGGTTCTGTTGCTCCCCTTGTGGAGTTCCTGTCCTCTCCAGATCTTACTGTTTCCCACTTCTTTCATAAGATTCCCTGCACTCTGCCCAAAGGTTGCCCATAAGTCTCAGCATCTGCACTGATAGTCTGCAGGGCAGAGCCTTTCAGAGGTCCTCTGTGTTAGGCTCCTGACTTGAACCCTTCTCCACTGCTGGTGGAAATGTAAACTTGTACAACCACTCTGGAAAGCAATCTGCTGCTTTCTCAGACAACTAGGAATAGTGCTTCCTCAAGATCCAGCTATACCACTCCTAGGCATATACCCAAAAGAGTCTCAAGTACACAATAAGGACATTTGCTCAACTATGTTTGTAGCGGCCTTATTTGTAATAGCCAGAAGCTGGAAACAGCCCAGATGCCCCTCAGTGGAGGAATGGATGCACAAATTGTGGTATATCCACACAATGGAATACTACTCAGCAATAAGAAATAAGGAAATCATGAAATTTGCAGGTAAATGGTGGGATCTGGAAAAGATCATCCTGAGTGAGCTATCCCAGAAGCAGAAAGATGCACACGGTATATACTCACTCATATAGACATATAATATAGGATAAACCTACTAAAATCTGTACACCTAAAGAAACTAAGAGGGAGGACTCTTGCTAAAATGCTCAATTCCTGTCCAGAAAGGCAAAGAGGATGGACATCAGAAGAAGGAGAAAAGAGGGAACAAGTAAGGATCCTTTGGATTTTGTTTTTAAGCTGGGCATTCGGAGACATGGGTGAGTTTGGATGTGAGTCAGGCCTTGAAGCTGTGCTTCGACAGCATGCATCTCTCACCTGAGGTGGAGGACCTCTGTACCACTTTGGGCTCTGTGGACTCAACTGACCACTGGTTCAGATGAAGCATCCTCCATGAGAGTGTGCACAGGGCAAGCAGATGCCAACAGCCCCCAGGCACTGTGCTCCCTGGGGTTTTCATGAGTCAGACACTCAGAGGGCATCTCAGTCACTTGCACAATTCGAAACATAAAGTTGAAATTTAGGTGGCTTCTTTCACCAGAGCTTGTGCACTTGTGACCTCTGCCCTTAGCATTCCCCCTCTCCTATTCTGCTTCTTTGGCAAAGAAACCTCAAGGAGAAGGGTTCTTTGCTGAGGAGACTTCTACATGAGACAGCTTGCTGTCACGATGGGATGGAGACCAGTATTTTCAGGAAAAACAATTAAAATAAAGTTTAAAAAAAAAAAGGAATAGGAGATTGTGAATCCACAGTGGTGAGTTTAAGTACCGAAGTGCCAAGGCATTCACCTGGAGTGCTCCATCATCCCGTACCATGAGGCAGGAGGGCGCACAGGCACTGTGAGTTCTAACAGGATACAGAACCCATGCCTCGTTGTATGTGCAGTGTGATGGGGAAAGCAGCTCTAGGGCCAAGCCCTGTCGGTGGGATCAACACCCCTGAGTTGCACCCTTAAGCTTGGATAAGAAGATAAGCCTCATGTGCCATGCAGGTTTCAACAATAAGTATGTTCAGTGAGGCAGAGGCACGAGGATCTCTGAGTTCGAGGCCAACCTGTTCTACAGAGGGAACCCAGGACAGCCAGGGCTACACAGAGAAACCCTGTTTCAGGAAAACAAAACAAAAACTTTTCTTTTTTTAATCACAGAATTCCGAAGTATTTAAAACCCAGTAGATGACACTCAGACTCAGTTTCAAACTCTATTTCTACCCAAAGCAAGTACATTCCTCTTCTCAGCTCTCTAGGGCCCCAGGAGCCCCTGAAAATGAAGAGCCGGGGCTGTTCCCAAGTGTCCTCCTGGTCTGGAGGGGGAGGGGGGAATCTCCTGTTTTAGACCCAACCACATGCAAGGGAACTGACTGGTCTCACATGGCCACTGGCCAGGAAGACTTTAGTTTTCCAGATTCCTTCGAATTTCTGGGCTTCAGGCCAGCACATTGCTCTGCAGCGAGACACAGCATACCTGCCAGAGGAGGAGGAGGGGTCGGAGACCGCATGAACCATGTCTGTGGAGAGCGCATCCAGGACACTTGTCAGAAACTCATGCTTTTTGGCACCAGGACAACCTAAAAAAAAATTGCACATTTTCCCCTCTATTAGTGGAATTCACAAAGTATAACAGACTTTTCTGCACAACGGAGAAAAGGGATTTAGTATTCGGAAATTAGTATGTTAGCTTGCTTCATGTGAATGAGCTGATTTTATACAGGCGCTTTGTACACATACCTCACACTAACCGATTGTACCACTGTAATTCATACTTTTTCACCTTGACTCACAGCAACTATTAATCATGGCATATAATGCTGGTGGACTTGTGACATGAGAATAAGATTCTCAGGCTTTAGTCTCTGGTTGATCTTTAATGCAACACACGTATGGTTGTCCTGTTGCTACACGAGGCACCAGGCACTTGAAAATATTAGGAGTCACCAAGTTCTACCTACTTGGTTCTCCATAGGGAGATCTAATTCAGGGTAGTGAGTCCAGAAGCCCCAGGCTCCACTACACAGCTCCCGAAACCCCTAGTATAGTTAGGAGCACTATGAGGCAGATCTATGGTTGCCTCCTTTGAAGCAGCCTCACCCCTGAACATCAGCGCAGCACATATCAAGGATCACAGGCATTCACGCCTGTGGCCCCCGGAGCTGACTGTGGAGGAGCTCAGCCTAGGTGGACTTCACCAATTCTGCTATCTAAAGCTCAACTTCCGCAGAACTTTTTACATGCACGGTAGTTCTTCTTCACCAACTCCCCTTCCCCCAGCCCCACTTGGAGTTTCCTGGATTCTTCTTTATCAGTCTCCATCAGTCTGAGTTATTTTCTCCACGCTGGGGTATGGCAGCTGGGCAGGGAGAGACTAACAAGTTGGTGTGTCTAAAAGACATTCTGGTTTCATGCTTTCCCTTTGGACACCTGGGTTTTTGTTACTATGATTCAAGTAAACGTTAGCTGCCCGTGGCGAGGATCTGCGGAGGTCTGTTTCCACTTATTAAACATTCTAGCAGAAAACAGATGTTGAGTCTTTCATAGGGTGCATGGAGCTTGAGACTAGAAAGACTGTGAATCGATTCTGTGCTCGATTAAAAGAATGGATTGCAATCTATAGGAAAAGCCATAACGGCTGGGTGAAGGACTCTGAGAAAATGCCCTACATCCCCTGAGGCTTTCCTCAGGAAGGGAAGAGAAGCCTGGGGTTGCAGAGGCTGCGGGTGGTCATTGACTCTTAAGAAACTGCTGGACAACTAGAGATGGCACAGGCATTGATGGTGTGGAACAAGGACAGAGAAGATGTAGCAGGCCCACCTAAGGATGCTTCCTGCACCAGCCTTATAGCCAGCTGCTCCAAAATGTGAACAAGGAAACATGCTGGGAGAGCACGGTGTACTTGTGCAAAATCCTAGAGTGCACTCATGAGCTCCCCAGTGCTTATCAGCCTCAAGAGATTCAAAGGAAACTAGTCACACCTGCTCAAGGATTGTCCTCTGAGGACCTGTAAAGAATCTGAGATTTGGTCACAATCAAAATCAACCAAGGTCCTGGGTATAAAGTCCATATTTCATTTTACAGGGAGTAACTAGCAGCCATTGGCTTTAGACTCTGAAATCTACGTTTATTATAGTTTTAGAGACATGAATGAATGGAAAAGAAATATTGTGCCATCTCCAAAGAGAGAGGATGAAAGAGCATTGGCAGGACTGGCTGGAATGAGGACTCAGGAAGCCACTCACGGGCAATCTGGGGTGAAGGTTGAAGGGAATGTCTTCCGTGCATGAATGTTCAGCCATGACAGGAGGTAGGCGAGAGAGAGCCAGAGCAGGGGTCAGCGGTCTACAGACCATGTCTGCCATCACTGAGGACTGTGCTGCTTTTGTCACCACGTACCTTGAGCTGACTTGCTCCCTGACAGAATCTGAGAGCCCCTTTGTCTCCACTACAAAATCCAGAGCCATATTGCCTCTGTGATACATGGACTGGAGCATACAAGTATTTCCATGGGCCAAGACAAACATATGTGAGATTGACATGGTCAGCAGAGGAAGCTAAAACAACCCATTGCCCTGGGAGGCGATTCCTCACCAGATCTGAAATGTAGCTGCACCATGTACCAAAAGGATGCCACCAGTGAGATTCAGTCTGGCAAACATCTAAGAGAACTGACCTGGTTTCCAGTAAAGGATCAGTGCCACTATGTGGCCTTAGAGTGGTCTGGTGTTGGAGACAGAAGCCTATGAGCTCTGCAGATACCATTTCCCACGCCTACAATCTTCATTTGCCCATCCATCTCATGAGCAGTGTGCTCTTGGGTTTCTCTGCAACACTAGACCCTCATCAGGACTACAGGCTAACAAAAACTACAAGGCTCAGTGGGTCTTCACGCTTCATGCCTCTTATTTCTCTTCTTGACCAGCTGTCTGTCTTGAGGTCTGATGGCTTTAAAGAACGCTGGTGCTCTGGGGTAAGTGTCAGAATCAGGCATGAGGTCCTTATTTAGGGCAAGTCACTTTATTTCAAGGTAGTTCTGCTAGGAAGATGTTCTCCAAGTATATGCAGAAGTCCTTGGCCCTGTAGTCATTTCTCCAGAACCCAGTTCACAGTCAATGCCTTAAAAAATTGCTTGTGTGTTTTTTTGTTTTGTTTTTTGTTTTTTTTGTCTTTCAAAATAAATGTGCTGTGCACTCTCTAGGAGACATTCTTATTTTTTTAAAAAACAGACTTCTTTTATTTAAAAACTGATTTCAGTAACTTTGCTTATGATTGATTGATTGATTGATTTTATTGCTAGCATAAACTTATACAAGTTCATGATGACTCTCCTGATTGCAGGGCAAACCTCCTGCAGATCATTACAATGAATTTAGAGTTTCTCTGAATGAGCTACATGGCATGCCTAGCTACTGCAAGGAAACCCCATCCACGCAGAGACAATGCAGGCAAGGAACAGTTTATCAAGAGAAGAGGCTGTGTGATCCTACCCTGGGTCTGTGCCCATGCTGTCCAGACATAACCGATATGTTAGCCCCTGTGCCAATGAAACACAGTGAGATTGGGGCAGGCCGCTGAGGTAGGAACCCAGGCCTTGGGATGGTCAATGTCAGTGACCTCATGAGTCTGAAGGATCTGGTTGATGACATATATAGGATTTGTTGATTCTTGATGAGTTTCAAAAGTCTATTTTAAATTGTAATGCTGTTACCAATAAAACTGGACATACAGCCAAAATACCCCTGTCTACAGTGACTTCTCAGTGAGGAAATGCCGGGGTACTGTTTTCTCTAAGTGTAGAGTTTCTGTGAGCATTCTTGAACAAGCATTTCTATGGACCAAGGAGTCTGGGGTCATGATGTTAGCAGAGGCTGGCCCACAGCTTCCAGTTCATGGCAGGAAGTGTTATGCCTGATGTGTGAGCCCACTTCAACATGGAGGTTCTCCCCACCACCATGCCAGTGTCAGGCACAGTGGTAGCCTTGCAAAACAAATGAATCCAGTCATACTGAGGGAGACAGAAAGACACAAAGAGAGGCATGAATCTGACACAAACTTAGTGGAAATCTGAGAGCGGTTGTTCTGGGAAATTGCAACCAGGCTGGGTTAGAGAGGCCCGGTGTTGACCCTGTGACTGAACAAGGACCAAAGCCTCTCAGTTCTCCTCACTATTCCTAAGCCACAGTGATAGGGATGAGAGGCCGGATTCATGCGTCCTGGACAACCGTTCTAGTGTGTATGTTGTGGAGGGAAGGCCTCAAATGACTCCAGTCTTCTTGCTGGCGGTAGGGAGGAAGGAAAGGTAGGCAGCCTTGTGAGCAGGCAAGAGTCTGCTGTGAGGCAAGCCTAGCTGATGCCCTTCCTGTGTCCGAGGAAGACTCCACCTTAGAGCGTGGGGATCTGGAAAATGGGCTTTGCTGAGAGGCTAAGCCCATTTGGTCCAGGGTCACAGGGTATCTGAAACATGGGGGTCACAGATATTCCTAGAACATGACATGTCCAAGATAAAGTAGCATCCCTTCCTTGCAAAGTCACAGACATATGCACAGCAATGGGCCCCGGGACATAGGACCCATCCCCCCATTGATCCCCTGCTGTCTTTCCTTATGTACAAGTAATACCTTCTTAACATTTAACTTCAGAACTATGAAAAGAATCAATATTTAGACACAGGAAAGCAATTCGCCAGAGCTGGGAAAGTTTGCTCAGGCACTTGTTTTTACTGCCTGCAGCTTGTTACAGGTGTGAAAAGCTGATCTGGTAATCCTTCCTCCAGGCTGGACCCCACTGAGGGGTCAGGCTACGAGGCAGAAGCTCTAGAGAAAACTCTCATTAAACTTTCTAGTGGTAAGATTAAAAAAAAGAAATCCCCCCTCTTGTGTTAACAACGTTTTGCTATTTTCTACATTTCTATAATAGAAATATTTGTGTTCACATATAATTGTTTTTCAGTGTATTTTCCACCTTTTAAGGCATAGTTCCTCAGCTCTGGGATCATGCTGAGGAGTTCACACTCATATATTGGTGGACATCAGCTCTTGCTTAGGGGCTAAAGCCCAGCAGAGAGCCAAGGTGACGGGGAAAAAATCCAGATATGGGTGGGCACACGTTCTGTACATGCTTCCATTGTCCTAATTCTTAAAAACAAAACAAAACCTATGGATATAAGACCACGGGGCTTCCCTTAACCAACATCCCAGGAAACCTTTGCCTTGGCCTAACTCTCATAGGTAGGCCCATCAGAAGAATGTACAGGAAGAATCTGAGGGAAGCATCTGAAACAGGGAAGCGCCTAGGCATTGACCCTTAAGCCTGCCCTGCTGGCTCCTGGAATCACTCTGGACTTCCCAAGAACACTGGTGACATTTCTCAAGGGCCTTGATGACAGCCCTCAAGGAGCCTGTAGAGAGAGGTGCTTCTGGAGAGATACGGGGAGCGTGGCTATATGAGAAGCTCCGAGTCACTTTCTAGGACTCTTGGGATTCCTCTAGGTTCCTGTCTTGTGTCCTTCCTACCAAATCTAAGGTCACAGGCCTCCTGAGGCAGAGTGGGCCTCTTTGGATACATTCTACCTTGTAAT